TTTTTGAGATTAGAATAATTCTCCCCTTCATCTTTGACAATGAAAATTGATAAAAGTGGTTCATGAATTTGTCAATCATAAATCATTTTGGTTATTTCGTGATAAATCGCTAATATCTTCGTTAAGTGGAGTGGTTGGTTTGACAAAAATAACTTTTAAAAGGTGGTCACTTGGTCGCTCATGATAATTTAACAAGAATTTTGTCAGATTTTTCATGGAAAGACAAAATGATTTACAGTGAACGAATGCAAGGGCTAATTCTATCGATTTTCATTATTAGAGACCTATGTAAAAATTATGTGAATCTCAGAGACCTTTAGAATAAAAAGCCTTATATTTGTGCAACTTGCATGTGCACGGATTCACACATCTACTTATTGGAGGGTAATTAGCTAGCTAGGGTTTTCTCTGAACATCGCAGAGTCAGTGTTCTATTGTCTCATACATATTTTTATTTTCTCTGCAGTATATAGCGACATGGAAATGGTCTGAATAGAACTGTTCGAGCATGCAAGAGCAAAGACAGATCCATTAGGAGGGTCAGGATCGATCATCAAATTTTTTAGGGTTTGTTTTTTCTGTAGTTTTGAGAAGAACTGAAGATTCTATGTAGTCAGATTACTAATAGTTTTGTCTCCCCAAAGGCCGATGCTTATGCTTTATGCAGTGAGATTGAGCTTTCCCTACTTCCTTCCTTTATAACTTTGTCATTTTCTAAATTGAAAAACAACCAAAGAATCTCAGTCTTCTGATATATTTGAGCATGTTTAAGCGTTTCAAAACAAAAACCAAATAGTATAGAGGACACAAATTGTAATGTACTAATGAAATAATGCTTCTTCCTCTATCATATATTGACCTGAATTCTCTCATCTGAACATTAATGTCTGGATTTCGTTTGCATGTGTTTTTGGTCACTTGGCTTGCTTTCGGCCATTGACCGGTCGACATTTAGGTTATATATTTCATTGCTCTTGTCGCACCTTTCTTCACCAGACTCTTCCATATCAATTTTTTTTTTATCACATCCTCAACAAAGTTGCTTCTCATGAGATAGAAAAACCCTACGGCTTAAACTTTAGATTTCAATTCTTAATTTTTGAGCAGAAAATTAACATGTAATGGTCGATTGAGAATGACAAAATAATACTTGGGATTGATCAAAATGGCAATTGGATCACAATTAGACATCCAAACGCACGAAAGACTGAAAAATCACGCATCTATTACATCGCACCATGCATGGTCGAACTTGTAAAATTTTATGGTTAGGGTTGTGGTTACGATCAATCTTGGTAGGATAGTGTTATTTACACTCATTTTTCTCATACAATCCTTTCAATTTTTTACCATTGAGTTGAACGAATTAAAGAAAATCAATAGAAAAAAATTAACAGAAGTGTATGAAAAGTAAAATAAATGTGTGATAATACTATGATTTTGATAGAGAAGGGAAATGATAAGTAGGGTTGACATTACCCTGCGTCATAAAGCACGCACCTTTCTCATTGAATCATTATTATTGATTATTCTCAAACGGCTTAATACAGCTCTCTCCTACTCAAATATTGCAAACATAAAACATGCACAATCAAAAATGCACGCGCACCCATAGATTCCACTAGTTGCGCGCAAGCCATTATATCCAATTATGCTGTTTTATTACATCATCTTTAAGCAAGGTTCTATAAGACTCTAGGCATTAGTTAAGTGGCGAACTGAGATTTAGTGCCTAGACAGAATAAGTAAATTTAAGTAAATTTATTATAAATCGTAAATAAGTGTCTGTTTATACTTAAAAATATATAGTTGTATTGAGATACATAAATTGAAAAATAAAATAATTTATAGATTCGAAAGTATTGGAACATATTGAAAATATGGGAAATCATAATATAATGTGTGTTTATCAAAGTATTTAACAAGCCTCTTAAAATTTATTAAAAAAATAAAATGCATGATGACAGCTATTAATTTTTTGTCTGAGTGATAGTCGCGACCTAAGTGGGCACTTAGACTGGCTAGGCGGGCGCTTAGACTAGCTAGGCGGGTGCTTAGACGGGCTAGATGGGTGTTTAAGTAGGTCTAGACGCCATTTCTTAATTTTCAAACATCTAGAAATTAATCGGGATGGTGGCTAGCCGCTTAGCGCTTAGGAGGTGCTAGGTGGAAATTTTTTAAACAATATCTGTAAGAGAGTCTAAAACTTGAATTTGAAATGTTACGTAAGATTTTTTGTAATACAACAAAATTGTTAAATGCATTTTTAAATTTAGAAAATATCCGACAATCTCAAGATTTAGAGTCCCCATACCACTCTTCAAACATTTTTTTTTCGATTATTAAAAGATGTGCTTGGCAAGGTTTAATAAAAATGAAATACTCAAAAAAGGTCAGATGATGAAAAGTTATTCTAATTCATTTTTTAGAACAAACCACATGCCCCTTGTCTGATAAACGCAGTTTGGATTGCTAGAGATCGACTGAATACTCTTCATGTTTGCTTATTGTTTTCTTCTTCTTAGTTAGATGCGTCGAGTATGTGACTTCAGCTCATGTTGGTATAGTGTCTTGATTGAGGCTTATTGTTTAGACAGAAGCTTTGGTTCTTTTCAGTTTCGTGGACTTGAATAATATATGATAATCGATTTTGGTTACATGAGTTTCTTGGTTGTTTCGGCCGCCTATTTCCGTTTTAGTTTTTTTCTTTTCGATGTGAAGCATCACGCACGTTAACCACACTCTTTTAACTTTCAATTATTGAATCAAATAAATTAAAGAAAAATAAATGATAAAAATTAATAAAAATTTGAAGATATCACCATCTTATTATTTTTACAACCATATTGAAATTCATATCTCGTACACTTCGTTGAACAAGATTGAACAAGTTAGAGTGCTTCCAGTCCTTTACCTCATTTAATGATAGAGTCCAAGTCTTGTTAAGTAAAGAGATGTCACGGTGTACATTTAATCGTGGAAAATTGAAAAGGGTAAAAGGTATGCTCATGATTACAAAAGGGAAAATGGTTGCAAAGCGACAATCTAATTGAGTTCTCCTTTACCCCACACGCATACGCACACCACTTACACATCAAACGCTTTTGATTTTCCCCATTTTTTTATATTGTTTTTGGTTTTTTTTTTGTTATAAAAAAAAAACAAATATAGTTTGTCTGATCATCCACTTTAAACAAACTAGAAAGATTTTCGTAGGATTTTCTTTGTGAAGATTTTAGAATTTTTTAATTAGATTCGTTCATCGTACATTGTGATATCAGAAATTATTGTCAATTTTTTTTATTTAAAATTGAATATAAACAATACTTGACAAAAACGGATCGTATGATGTACGATGAAATGATATGATTGGAAGATCTCCAACATCCTCACAAAGAGATCCGTCTCACTTAAACAAAGCCTCCATCTTGGACCCAACATGCCTGCCTGCCTCCCTTCTTCCTCATACTTCATTCACATTTTTGCTCCACATAATCATGGATTATTATACAAACATAATTACATATATTCTCAAAATATTTGCATGATCAATATCTGCATTTGTGCCGCTAATCACTCCACATGGCATCTTTCCGACCGAAAGATCTCGAACCAACGGTCCACTACTCGTTTTACTTTTATTTTCGGGCATGTCGTAAATAAATTTTTGCAAAGATTTATGTCTACGTGGTCTCTAAAATTGCCATGGAAAGGAGTATATGATTAGACAAGTTTTATTGTGAACGCATACCTACATGAAAAGGTGAAGGAGTTTTTTTGAAAGTGAGATTCTTTATGGATTCTCTGTTACTTTATAGAACAATAATTTTCGTGACAACGTTATAAAATATTATACCAAAACATAATGTGACAGAAAATTCACGAATAATCTTGAGAAGAGAGAATTTAGCATTTCTCTACATACACTACCACCTCTTCTCTTAGGAATTTACAAATAATCCAAAGAGAAATGTATAGGAGAGTCAAAAGTGAGACTTTCTGCTACCTCATTTTTCTAACATAATGTCTAATATTTACATAAAAATTGACGTTAAACTATAAGATGACATTATATTAAAAACCATACTTTAAAAAAGTCTCCGTAACATTTCTCTAATCCAAAATATAGATATTTGGTGTGTGCAAAGTCTTGAAATTTACACACAAAAAAAAGCAGAACTTGTAGTATATTTTATTATATAAATTGCATGAAGATCATCACTTTTTTACCCCTTCAAGGGGGAAGGGGATGTGGATAAAAAAGAAACGAAGGTCTTTGTGAAAAGAAGGTCTTTGCTTTTTAACCCTTTGTCTTTTTTAGTGGTAAAAGTAGAGAGAGGCTGAGGAATTGTGATTGGATGGAAAGGATGTTCTTAAAAGACAGAGTTCAAACAGGAAATATCCCCAATTTTCCACTTTTTTTTTTTATTTTTTGGAAGACTTTTTAACATTTCTTTTAGGGATAGATTTATCACACATTTTTTCAAGTCTTCAAATTAATTTTTTAAATTGGGCTGTAAGGGGCCTAATACATGATATGTTTACTTACCCGAAATGGTATTGGATATATTCTACTTCTCGACCTCTCATAAGTCCTATGTTACAATTCGTCATCCAATATCTAAACAACTAGGAATTAAATTGAATGAGGGACGCTAGTTGATTCATAATCATCCACTCTCTTCTGTATATTGAATTCACCAATTAATCACTTTCCTCATTTCAAGTAAGCAAACATAAACAAATTTATGGCGACGCGAAAAAACAGACCTACATATTCGAGTAGAAAATGATTATTTGGTATAATCATACGCAATCTCTGCTCTCTACTATATTAGAGGAAATCGTGAGTTCAAAATAATTATTGGCGGTAGTCTCCAAGGTTTAGCCCAAAAAGTAATAACCCAAAAATGTAGATCCACAAAATTGGGCCACTCGGTATTTGTGCCCTGGGCCCATTACCTGACCCATCAAATCCGTTTACTTGATTGTTTTCTCTTCCGCTTCTCATCCATTTCAGACTTCCAGCCGCCCGAAAATTTATGGGCGGAACGAAAGCACCCCCATAACATGCCGTAACAATGAGACACAGCAACCACACAAATTTGCAACTCTGCCACTGCCATGGTCGACTTCCCCAAGTCTCTCTCGCCGAAGCGAGTCCTGAAGCTCCTCAAAGCCGAGAAGAACCCTCATTCCGCACTCGCCCTGCTCGACTCAGCGACCCGCCACCCGAACTACAACCACTCCCCCGACGTCTTCCACCACATTCTTCGTCGGCTCGTGGACCCGAAGCTCGTCGTTCACGTCGAGCGGGTGGTCGAGCTGATTCGGACCCAGAAATGCAAGTGCCCCGAGGACGTGGCATTGACGGTGATCAAAGCGTATACGAAAAACTCCATGCCCGATAAAGCGTTGGCCGTGTTTCAGCAAATGGAAGAGATTTTTGGGTGTGCGCCCGGCGTAAGGTCGTACAATTCGCTGCTGAATGCGTTCATTGAGTCGAACCAATGGGACCGAGCTGAGAAATTTTTTGCTTATTTCGAAACGGTGGGTTTGGAGCCAAATTTGCAAACTTATAATGTTCTGATCAAGATTTCGTGCAAGAAGAAGCAGTTTGAGAAGGCTAGAGGGTTGCTGAATTGGATGTGGGAAAAGGGTTTGGAGCCTGATGTGTTTAGTTATGGGACTTTGATCAACGGGCTTGCGAAAGGTGGGAACTTGAGTGATGCATTGGAGGTGTTTGATGAAATGTTTGAGAGAGGGGTTGGTCCTGATGTGATGTGTTATAATATTTTGATTGATGGTTTTTTCCGGAAAGGCGATAGTGTGAGTGCCAATGAGATTTGGGAGAGGTTGGTGAAGGACTCAGAGGTTTATCCTAATATTGTTACTTATAACGTTATGATCAATGGTTTGTGTAAATGTGGGAAGTTCAGTGAGAGTTTAGAGATATGGAATCGGATGAAGACAAATGATCGAGGGCCTGACTTGTATACTTGTAGTTCTTTGATTCATGGGTTGTGCAAAGCAGGGAATGTGGATGGGGCTGAGAGAGTTTATAAAGAGATGGTTGATAAAGGGGTTGTTCCGGATGTGGTTGTCTATAATGCAATGCTCAATGGGTTCTGTATAGCAGGGAAGACTAAAGAGTGCTTTGAGCTGTGGGACATGATGGAGATGTGTGGTTGTCGTAATGTTGTGAGTTATAACACATTGATTAGAGGGTTGTTTGAAAACGAGAAGGTTGATGAAGCAATTTCTGTCTGGGGACTAATGTGTGATAAGGCTTGTGTTGCAGATGCCACAACCTATGGAGTATTAATCCATGGACTGTGTAGAAATGGGTATTTAAACAAGGCTTTGCAGATTTTAAAAGTGGCAGAAAACACAGGAGCTGATCTGGATGCCTTTGCGTATTCGTCAATGATTAATGGGTTATGCAAGGAAGGGATACTAGATGAAGCAGCCAGGCTAGTGGGTAAGATGGATAAGTGTGGCTATGAACCGAATTCTCATGTTTGCAATGCATTGATATACGGGTATATCCAAGCTTCCAAACTTGAAGATGCCATTTTGTTTTTTAGAGGAATGTGCACCAAGTTTTGCTCTCCAAATGTTATCTCCTACAATACTCTCATAAATGGTTTATGCAAAGCAGAAAGATTTAGTGACGCATATGTGTTTGTGAGGGAAATGCTGGAAAAAGGATGGAAGCCGGATGTGATCACATATAGCTTGTTAATCGATGGCCTTTGTCAAGGCAAAAAGATTGACATGGCCCTCAACGTGTGGCATCAAGCCCTTGACAAGGGCTTCGAGCCTGATGTAACTATGCATAACATTATAATTCATGGTCTTTGCTCTGCAGGCAAGGCTGAAGATGCTTTGCAGCTTTATTTTCAGATGTGGCGTTGGGACTGCGTTCCAAATCTTGTAACCTACAACACCCTAATGGAGGGTTTTTACAAAATTACAGACTGTGAAAAGGCATCAGAAATTTGGGCCTGCCTTCTAAAAGACGGACTACAACCAGATATCATCACCTATAATGTTACTCTCAAAGGGTTTTGTTCATGCAGTAGAATATCAGATGCCATTAGGTTTTTAGAAAAGGCTTTACGTCTTGGAATTCTTCCAACTTCCATTACGTGGTACATACTTGTTAGGGCAGTGCTAAACAATGGGACCACTTCAAACTCTTCTTGGGTATAAATTAGCGTGGAAGCAAGTTTTATCTCCAGTTGCTTTTCTTTGATGTCATCACATGCATCGTTTCATCTGGGATCACATGATGTGACCTCCATAGTTTCCTTTTGTTCTCTTGTCATATTTTGTTGGCACTGAGATACTTCAAAACTCCATGTGTCACGAGAAAAGGTCTGTGGAAATATGTCGCTGGGCTAGTCGGTAGGTGCTTGGGATACTACTGATGAGGAATCTGTACAGCAATATTATTCTTCATGAAGAACATGCTTTTCTTCTAAAAGTGACATAAGGTATGATTGATCTGTCTTTTGCCTACATTTGTTTGTTGGGTGTGTTGCATTCTCAGTGCAAAATCTGCCTAATGCAGGTTAAATGCCAATTTTATTGAATCCTGGAAAAGATTAGTTGGCAGAAGAATGAGTTTCTAGAATTCAGATCCAAAATCTTGCTTACCAGGTTTAATATCAATGGCCATTTAGTTATCAATTCTGGGTTGTATTGCACATAGTGGGTTTTATTTAGAACATATAGAACGTCGAAGACATTACTTATAAATTTAAAGTCTTGAGGCCTGTCTTAGCATGAATTATAATAATTAAAAGCTCATGAAGCATCATATATGGTAACTAAGTGCCATAGGTTTTGGTGATTGCAGTAATATCACCAAGATCACCTTTTGATGATGCAAAAGCAAAGTGGCTTGATGTATCAAATCCAAGGTGTGAGATTTACTTGGGGTTATTAATCATGCTATATTTGTAATAGGGCAGAGCTCCTGATGCAGGTTGGATGCCATCTTTAAAGTCACTATTTGGCACACGTGTGGCTTTTGCGAGATTTGTATCATTAACCTTCCTCACCAGATTCAATTTCTGCGGCTACTGCTTTCAGGTCAACATGCATTTTGTTGTACACTAGTGCGTATAGAACATTTAGAAGGTCATACATACACTAGTGGATTCATAAAGCATCATATATGTAACTCGGTTACATAGTTTTTGGTGATTACAGTAGTATCACTAAGATCACCTTTTGATGATGCAAAATTAAAGGCTTGATGTATCAAACCCAAGTTGTAAGATTTACTTGGGTTTATTGATCATGCTATATTTGTGTAGCGGAGCAGTAGTGCATCATTTCCATTCGTCTTTTTGGGCAGTTAAATTCTAGAAATGTCTATTAGATTTTCTCATATTTTCGAGATAGTCTACACTTTTAATTGGATAACGTAAAAGAGTTATGGCTAAAATTTTTACAATTGAGTTGATCAGGAAAAAACATGTTATATCTATGTAGACCTAAGCTATGTTTAGTAATATAGTTGAGGCCGAAAATTTTACAGCATAATATTTTTGCTTCTAAGGGTAGGGCAAGGCAGGGCGTCATCTTCTTTCTTCCTGTGTCTTCCCCTCTTCTGTACTTTCTGTTTCTGATAACATTTTCTGCTCATAGATGACCTGAGAAACCAAACCCACAAAAATTGCCCCGAGAAATGCAACTTTTCTCCAATCAGGTGTTGAAGTGATGAAAGAGTCGGCAAGTTGTACGAGTAGCAGACCAATTAGTGCAAGGTAAATGTTCGTCCTGGTTTCGGATCCTGCACTTTTTTTGGTAAGCTCCTTGATTTTATTTATTTCCTCGGTAGCATCTACTTTTTTTTTTTCGGCTTGCCCTGGGTCAAATTCTTAAAAAATAACCCTTTGTTTCGCTCTTTTTCAATCTGACCTTCGAATGCTTCTAACTCGTTTTCGTTTTTCTCCATCTCCTCTATGTTCACTCCTGCAGATTCCTCAAAGGCCTGCATGCGGCTGTTTATATTCTCCAATATCTGCTAATCACAAACGATTAAGAATTTAATCCAAGTTATCCAACAGAAGTGTATAGCAAGTCGTGTTTTTTATCTTTAATGCGGTGCATGGAGCAGGAACTTAAAAACAGACCCTGTCGCTGGCTTCATCCAGGTCTTTGAGAGCATCTTCTCCAATCTTGTCAAACTCGGCGTTTGCCTCCTCTCCAAATTTGGTAAGATACTCTGACCTTTCATCCAAAGTAATCGGCAAGACGGACCTTCTGAGCTTGAAGCATTGCTATCCTCACCAGCAACTCTTGCTTGCGAGTGTCGCCTTCAGGAGGGGAAGCATCTGACTCCGAATCAGAATCATTGGACTTGCTGAATCGCAAGACGGAATTCTTGGCGTTGGACAATCGTCCTGTGTGTAAACTGGCATGTTTGGTGGGGGTGAAGGAGGTTTGAATGAGCTTGAGGCCAATCATCTTATCCGTTTTCAGTGCTGGCTTTAAGTTTGGATAAAGGGGAGAGAGAGAGAGAGAGAGAGAGAGAGAGAGAGAGAGACTTGTACATCGACAGTTAAAACTGTTGAGAGTGCTTTTTAGCCTCTCATCTGGCGTTGTATTATCCATTGCTCTAAAAAAGGTGTTTCTTAGACTAAAAAGTTCTTGTTAAAAGAGTGGGATTTATCACCTAATTGTTCCTCTCGTTCTATTTCTGTACCGATAATTGCCAACCGATGACATGCTTACTTACCTTGAATGAGTAGTTGAATCATTATAACGACTAAATTTTTTATGTTTACTAACACAAAGGTATTAGAATTATTTTCATTCGTGACTTTCCTGTGTTTACTCACACAAAGGTATTATGATTCTTTAGTATTCTTGACCCCTCATGTGTTTATACGGAATAAAAAAAATATGTAGTTCACATATATTACAATCGACAATACAATGCCTGGAAATTAGGAATTAGGTTGCTTATACGGAGTTGTTGATCTCATTCTTATACCTTTTGTTTTCTACTTTCTTGATTCATGACTTTTTTTTCGTCCGAAGTAAGCAAGCATGACACAAAAAAATGCAGCATTCGACCTATCATTTTCTTTTCGCCTCCTAGCTAAATTGGTCCATGAGATTGAATAACTTCTCATTTTGGTCCTTGAGATTTAAAGTCGATAGTATTGGTCTCTGAGTTTATCCACTGTCAATAATTTTGGTTATTCTAAGAAAAATCTTCATTAAATAAGAATAAAATGACAAAAATACCCTAAATTGACAAAAACTGAGGGCATTTTTGTCATTTTAATCTTTATTTAATAGGGTTGTTCATTGAAGGATCAAAATAATTGATTGTAGAATTCAGGGACCACTCTCTATCGATTTCAAATCTGAATGATCAAAGTAAGGAATTATTCCAATCTCAATGACCATTTTAGCTAAAATATCTTTCTTCTTTTTTACTTCCTCTCCCTCAACTTAAATAAGTGAATGGGTGATGAATAAAAATGCATAGTTCAACCATGAACATACGAATGATTAATTGCCATAAAGTCAACAAAATGCTACGAAAAATTCACAAACACACATTAAATCAAATCTTGAAATCAACGCACAAATCCTCCAACAAATATTTTCCAACACCAACATTAAAATCAAATAAAAAAAAAAAAACTAAAATGGCAGACAGCCAGAAGATTAACAAGTGCCACTCCACCACCCTGCATATCATTGAGCACACCCAGTCACCTTCTTGTAAGTGTACCACTTAGCAATCCAGAGGTACACCAAGAAATTAATAACGCTCAGAATAGCCAACAGCCAATAAAAATAGTCCAGGTGTCCCCTGTTAAGGTTATCCGGAATCCACCCAAGATTCCCATTCTTCGTGGTAACTTTAGTTACCACAGTAACTAGCAGAGTGCTGAGGTAATTCCCCAGTGCAACAGTGGTCAGTGACAGTGCAGAGCACAAGCTTCTCATGGCGTCAGGCGCCTGGTCGTAAAAAAACTCCATCTGCCCAATGAAGGTGAAAACCTCAGCACACCCAATGATGAAATACTGCGGGACCTGCCAGAAAATCGACATGGGAATGTACTCTAGGTCGTAGTAATTATATTTTTTGACAGTGGCAAGCCTAACGACCTCCAAAACCCCAGCAACAACCATGGAGAATATGGAGAGTGCTAGGCCGATTCCCATCCGTTGAAGCGTCCTGAAGCCTCGTTCGTGGCCCGTGAAGTGCCTGGCGAGGGGGACGATGAGCCTGTCGTATATCGGAGCCCAGAAGATGACGCTGACAGTGTCGAAGAGGGAGAGGGAGGCTGATGGGATTTTGAAGTTTGGGCCCATGTGTTGGTCTAGGGTGTTGCCTTGGAGGACAAACATTGTGCTCATTTGGCCGTAGACGGTGGCGAAGACTATACCAGACGCCCAGATGGGGAGGAGTCTGATGATGGATTTCAGCTCCTCTACTTGTGTCACTGTGCAGAGGCTCCATGGGCTTGGCAATTCCTTGGCACGGTTTGTCTCTGACTCCACGGCTGCCTTGTCAAAGAACCTGAAATTTGAAAAATATTATTATACAGAAATTATCTTTACATGAAGTCCGTAAAAAAAGAAAAATATTAGTTATATTGTTCAGAACACATCAATAAAAATACATTGAAATGTTTATTAACAATCAAAGTGTCCTTCAACTTGAAAGTGTTTTTACGAAGAAGCATATGGTAAGTGCTTCTCAAGAAAGCACTTCTATGACTCAGAAAGACGGTTAAGTATTTATACAAAACGTAGTCAGAAGCGCTTGTGGTTGTCCGTAAGCACTTTTAGCCTTTCTAGGTGAGGTCCCAAACAAGAGATTTGAATATGCTTTTAAAACGGTTAAGAACGCTTTCACATAGTCATAAGTATTTTTTAGAATGTTGGACATGAGATTAAAATTGTTGCTGCTAGCTAGGTTATAAAAACTCTGGTTGTTCAAGAAGAGAAGCACTCAAGATTCTTGTGAAAAGTTTCGACGCGCTTTTAGAAAAATCGCTTAAAATGAGCAAAAGTGTTTCCCATTGAAATTCTAGCTGTGTGCTAGCTTCTTACCCTAATTGGTTGGTGTGCTCAAGCTTCCGGCTTCCTTGGATGTTGCACTCCTCATCTGCAGTCTCATAGAGAAGAGACTTGTCAGCAGGAACTTTCACTTTGTGTTTCCTGATGGATGCAGCAACCACCTGAGCAATCCTTGTGAGGGGACTCCCGCCTGGTTTCTGAAGACGATATAACTTGCTTCCCAAGAAAAAGAACACAACTGCAATCCCCATTGCAACAGCTGGGACTCCGAACCCCCAATTCCATCCCACATTCATTTGCATCCAGACCAAAACTGTGGAAGCAATAAGCGCACCGACATTGATTGACATGTAAAACCAGTTGAAGAAGGAGCTCTTCTTCTTCCTCTCAGTCTCGTCAGTTTCATCAAATTGATCTGCGCCGAAGGATGAAACGCATGGCTTGATTCCACCAGTACCTACTGCAATCAAGTACAGAGCTACAAAGCAGGTCGCTCTTTGGGATGATGTTGAGTTGCAACCAGAGCTATCGCAATGCGGTTTTAATCCATTGATAGATGCAGTGAGGGTCAAGAGTGTCATACCCTAGAATAAAAACAACAATTCTTCAATATATAGCCTCTTGAAGAACACAATTTGTATTTGGACCAAACTTACAAGAACATAAACGATTGAAAAGATGGCAATTGTCCAATATCTTCCCAAGTATGCATCAGCTAGGAAGGCTCCTATCAATGGCGTTGCGTAGCACGTCCCTGACCAATTAGAGACGCTGGTTGCTGCCGTGACATTTCCCATGCCGAGACGTTTCTCGAGATAGTTCACTAGATTGGTACTCATTCCATAGTATGCCAATCTTTCACAGCACTCATTTCCTGCAACAGGATTATTTAGTGATCAACATGAGGGCGCCATAAAATACCATGAACAAATCAAAATAAAAAATCAAATTCATAACCAATAAAACCATACCGAGAATAAAGCGGCATGCCTTCCAATTTCCAGTCTTCTTCTTGTTAGCCGGTTTTTTATGGATGTCCAGAGTCCCATCGTTCGTGTAAAAATCATCGCCCACCATAGCTGCAGATTAGCTATCGTTCGAGTTCCAGACCTTTTTTTCTTGGTATCACTACAAGAAAAATGAGCTTTGGGTACAAAACAAAGGGCACAATTGAGAAATTTGTGTCAGTTTGACCACCAAAAAGGTTAAACAGTTCCCATTCCATAGAGGGCACCATCTATTGTGCCCAATGTTAAAAAAAGTAGACACAAAACAGTAATGGGCACGGAAACCGTGCCCAATGGGGTCAGATGACAACGTTTTTACGAAAGATGGGCACAAAAAACATTTTGTGTCTATAAAAATTATTTGTCAGAGGCACTATATGTTCTCTCTCGTTTGTCTTTACCTCCTCTAGTACACCAATAATTAAAATTTATAAAATTGTGGTAAATAATGGTGTGGAGCTGTTTATTACTGTACAATATTTTAGCCTCAAAATAAGTTAGCAATAATGTTGTTCAAATTCGTTTTTGGCAACAGCTGAACCTCAGATCTCTTAATTACAAGTAAAGAAGAATATCACTACACCGTAGTACTAAGTAACGTGTTTTAGATTAACAAAGGATCATTTCCAGCTGCAATGAATGTTTGTTAGATTCGTATATTTTTGAACTACTTTTTGGATTGTTATCTTCTTGCAGGTTTGGTTTTTATACTTGGTGATATGGTTTTTGGTTTTATAGTAAGTGTTTCTTTTTTTTTTGACTGTATTAAAAGACCTTTATGCAGTGACACATAACCAACAATTATTTTTTTTACTGTATTAAAAGTCTTTTTTTCCTGTATTAAAAGACCTTTATGCAGTGACATAGAACCAACAATAATTTTTTTTTTACTGTATTAAAGTCCTTTATGCAGTGACACATAACCAACAAATGTGCCCTTAGTGTTGGTAGACAAATGAGTTAATAATTGTAGATTCCTTTTTATGACACTAATATAGAAATTGTGCCCACTAAATATTAAAAAAAATAATAAATCACTCTACTGTCGTTGGGTCTTCAAATAGAGAATATATCTTAATAATTATAAATTCCTTTTTCTGACACAAATGTTAGAAATTGTGTGTCCAGTAAATATTAATAAATAATAAATCACTCTGTAACAAAGGAATGTGTTGGCACAATTATGGATTTGTGCCCAAATTCTGGTATAAAACCTCTGCACTCCCTTACTAATTTGCATATGGAAAATTAGAAGGTTGCTTCATACACTTGTGTTCTTTTGAATTTGATCAAGTTCTACATCATTCAAAATGGCAGACAGGCGACGTCGCGGAGTTAGAATTGGAACCGAATCTCCAGCATCACATTCATCTATTGCTTCCAACATTACAACAGCAAATTCCACAACGAATCCTCCAGCTCAACGTCCAAGACAACATGTTAATGGTGGGCGCATACCTCGTTCTATTGATAATCAGTACATTCTTACTACTGTTGCTGATGGTCGCCTTGGCTACGCATTACCCTCCAATAACGGCTATGTACGTGCACCTCAAGGACGTGTATTGCCAACATGGGCAAACCCAGGTAGGACAGAACAATACCCTGTTAATTTGGTTTCTGCTGAAACAACAACTGAAGAGTCTACTAGTTCTGTCCTTATTATTGAAGAACCACGCACTTATGAAGCACAAGTTCGTCCTACAGGCCTGTCTGTCCCACAGATGACCTCACGAAATATGCAGAATGTTACCGTTGAGATTTTAAGCAGCGACGACGAGGACAATTAATATATTTTGTATATATGTTATATTTCACTGGTGTGTGAAAAATATAATTATCTTATGCTATGCTTGACTCCTATTGGGTACGCTTATCAACTTATGTAGTATTACAATATAATAATATTTTCTTTTTAATTGGCCCATGATATAGATACTCCCAGCATTATATATTTTTTGGTTTATAATTATGTTTCTCGTTTGGTTCATACCGCACAAATCAATGAACTCACAACGTGTCAACGCAAGCATTATGACACTTTACCAGTAAAAGAAAAGAAAAAATAAAAGAAAAAGGGAAAAAAATGAAAGAACAAATCAAGCCTGACAGGCAAGCCTTTGATCATGCTAATTTGCTAATCCAAGCCTGCTTGGCGCCGTAGCTTCATTCCACGGAAAAGGAACAATCTTTCTTCCTCCAAAAGTTGGCACTTTTCAGGCTTCCTTCAATGCGAATTCAGAATTCCTGAATTCCCACCTGTACCCTTCTCTCACTTCCCTCGATTCTTTCCGATTTCAGGTACTTATCCAATTCCTTTTCAGAATTGATCAATCGGGGTGTCTGTATATCTAACATATTCAGTTTGGGTTTCTGTAAATGTAGCTGCACATCTAGGCAAAGGAAAATCCAACCTTGCCCATCTGGGCAGAGGAATCATAACTACAAACACAAAATTATCTTTATCCCAGTAATTTCTGAACGGCCGGTGCCTAGTTCCTACTCAACTCCTTGTTTTGCTCCAAATCGCACATCTATTGTGGCTTTCTTCAGGTATTTGAATTTTATATATGTTTTTTTTTCTGTTCTTATTTGGTGGCTCGCTTGGATAATCGAAAAACATGGGAGAGAGATTGAACTGTTTTGTTTCTACGATTTGCTGGTACTCAATTTGTTTGGTGAAATTTTCTTTGTGGTCTGATATATAGCATGAATAAAACAAGAAGTAATCGAAAAAACATGGGAGAGATGCTGGTAGTCAATTTGTTTAGTGAAATTTTCTTTTTGGTCATGAGGTAACCTCAGTGACAATGTTTAGGCCTGTGACCTTTCCCATAGGCTACTTATTGATTGGAAGTTCACAATAAAAACTGTTTTCAAGCTAACAGACTTGTAGATTAAGAGGTGTGTAATGCATAAGTGTAAGCCATGAACGTCAGGCTTATCATCCTTCAAATATTATATCAACTGTAATGGAGCCAGCATGATGAAAGTTATATATTACTCACCAGTATGTGCTTTTTTATTTTTTTGACAGAACTGTCTAATAAGGAAATTTGAGATTGTAACAGAGGAACATGGAGTTTTGAGTTGCCATTCCTACTATATTTCTTTCATAATTTATACATAATATGAATAAAACAACAAGGAATCGAACAACATGGGAAAAAGATTGAACCGTTTTGTTTCTGCGATTTGCTGGTACTCAATTTGTTTGGTGAAATTTTCTTTGTGGTCTGATATAATATGAATAAAACAACAAGCATAAGTCTCTCGCAACGTAAGTTGTAGGATTTCAGTAGCAGACTTCAAATGGCGTTCATTGAAACGAAACAAAATTCTATTCAAAGTAGTGTACACCGTTAGTGAATAAGCTACTTCAATGTAGATCACATCTAGTTTTAGTTGGTTTGTGAATTTTGGGATATTAGGTTGGATGTTTAGGAACATTTTTATTTGATTGTCTCAGTTCACTAATCTTATCGTGTAATCATATGTTTTATAATTTCATACGTGCTTGTAGCTAAAGATGAACAAAGAATGGGTGCATCTGAATAGGACGACCAATGAATACTTGATTGGCAGGCGTGCATTCATCAGTAACGCTTTAGACGTTGCTGCCCTTCAAGGAAAAATTAAGTGCCCCTGTCGGCGTTGTTGCAATATGTTTTATCGTGATCCATTTGAAGTCGATGAACACCTCTATGTCGAAGGTATGGATCCCCATTACATAGATATACCTTGGGTTGAACATGGCGAACAGGTGCATACTTCTGATAACATATCAAGTCCAACTACTGAAGCTCTTAATGAAAGAAGCCCCGAAAATTTCATGGCAGCGATGCTTCATGATGTTTTCAGTAACCATGTGCATATGGATGAGTCAGACCATGTTGCTGAATCTTCTTCTGCGTGTGATGAAACAACTGATAATGGCCAATTCGACAACATTCTACGAGAAGCAGATGGAGAATTATATCCAGGTAGTAGGAAGAAAAAGTTGGATTTTGTGGTGAAATTATATCAATCAAAATTGTTATATGGAATGAGTGATGCTGTATTTGGTTCAGTGTTGGCACTAATAAGAGAGCATTTTCCTATGTGCGAGACTCTTCCTCCAAATTTGTACTATACAAAGAAGATTATCCGGGCTTTAGGGTTGGATTACCAAAACATAGATGCGTGTCGAAATAATTGCATGCTATTCTGGAAAGAGCATGTAAATGCCATCGTTTGTGCAAAGTGTGGTGCTAGTAGATATAAGCAGAGGAAGGGAAATTCAGGAACGATCCAATGTACGAAGGTACCAAAAAAAGGTTTTACGCTACTTTCCCATAGGTCCTAGACTACAAAGGTTGTACATGTCTCGTTACACAGCTGAGTCAATGATATGGCATTCAGAGATTAGAACTGACGATGGTGTTTTGAGGCACCCTGCTGATTCTCCGGCTTGGAAGCATTTGGATAATACATATCCAGATTTTGCAAGTGAGTGTCGCAATGTCCGTCTTGGGCTTGCAAGCGACGGATTCAATCCGTTTGGTATGCATGGCAAACCCCACAGCACATGGCCTGTTTTAGTTGTAGTTTATAATCTTCCGCCTTAGATGTGCATGAAACAACCTTATATCATGATGTCCCTCCTAATTCCAGGCAAAAAAAGTCCCGGTGATGTAATTGATGTTTTCCTGCAGCCGCTAATTGATGACTTACGACATTTGTGGATGACAGGTTTGCGAACATTTGATAGTCACCATCAAGAAACCTTCACCATGCGTGCTGCATTGTTGTGGACTATCAATGACTTTCCTGCTTATGCCATGCTCTCAGGGTGGAGCACTAGTGGTGAGAAAGCTTGTCCGACTTGCAGTGATGACACCGATTCTTTATGGCTTAAGCATGGGAAAAAAGTTTGCATTCATGGGACATAGACGATGGCTCCCGATGTCACACAGGTACTGGAGACATAAAAAAACTTTTAACGGATCTCAAGAATTTCGAAACCCCCCTAAACCAAGAAGTGCCATGGATTGTTTATTGGAAGTGACGGGATTGACCTTCAGATTTGGCAAGGGTGCAAGGGTAAGTGGTCGTAAGCGGGGGTGGAATGATGATGGACACGTACGTGGTCAGTGGACAAAAAAGACAATATTCTTTGAATTGCCTTATTGGAAGGATCTCCTACTACGGCATAACTTGGATGTCATGCATATAGAGAGAAATGTAGCTGAAAATGTTATTGGCACTCTTTTGGAAATTGAAGGGAAAACTAAAGATGGTATTAGGGCAAGGGCTGATCTCGTAGAGTTAGGCATTAGGCATGATCTCCACCCACGGGCAGATGGTGCCCGTACAAAGCTTCCAGCGGCGGAATACAATATGAAACCTGGGGAGAAAAGAATGTTGTGCCAGGTTTTGGAATCAATTCGGGTGCCAGACAACTACTCTTCTAATATCAGCAACTGTGTTAATATTCAAGAAAAGAAGTTAATTGGATTGAAAAGCCACGATTATCATATGCTGATGCAGGTCTTCCTCCCTATTGCAATACGAAAAGTGTTACCGAAATCGGTTATTATAGTGTTGTTAGAGTTGAGCAGATTTTTTCGCCAACTTTGTTCAAAAACTGGAACTGAAGAATTGTTCAATGGCTTGTCAAAAAGCATTGCCTTAACTCTATGCCATCTGGAGAAGTTATTTCCGCCATCATTCTTTACCGTTATGGTACACTTGATAATTCACCTTGCGGATGAAGCTGCTGTTGCTGGCCCGGTCCCATACCGATGGATGTACCCCATTGAAAGGTGTTAGTTTTGTAAAACACCTCCTCAGTTCACTTTGTAATTTTAGTATTTTTTTTCCATCATTACATTTTGCTTAAAGATTTTTGTTCAACAATCAGGTACCTACATCTTCTAAAATCGTATGTGCGCAACAAGAGTCAACCAGAAGGATGTATTGCAGTGGCTGTTAATCTAGATGAGTGTGTATCATTTTGCTCCATGTACATGGAGGACTCTGTTGTTACCCGTCGCAATAGGCCTGGACGTAACTATGATGTGATGCAAGGTGATGCACGGCAAGGACTTCCTTTATTTGGTAGCCAAGGCAAACCAGCAAGTGCTGTTGAAACTGTTTTTACTAGAACGTCCGAGGTTTGAAATGGCTCATCGCTATGTCCTTGTAAATTATCCGCAAATGGCAGAATACTTAAGGTATAGTTATAACAATGACATTACCTTAGTACATGTTTCATGGACTAGCGTGGATGTTGAATTGATTTATGTGTTGGTCTTGTAGGAGACATATGTCAGATGTAATTTCCACTCGTGGCAGAAGAACTACCATATATGATGCAGAAAGAGAAGCTTTAGATAGTTTCCCTCAATGGTGTCGGGATAATGTACCTTATATTTGTATTAAGTTTCAATATTAAATTGAGGACTCAATTATGGTGTATTTTTGTAACTATGTTTTAATTCAATGCAGGTACATAATATAGGGGCGAATGATGAGGTAGCTATTAAAGACGATATACGTGCATTGGCTGCTGGACCGATGCAGTGGGTAAACCGTTATACCACGTACATCATGAATGGAAATCGATTTAAGGTTGCTTCTGCTGATCGACATGCACGAACCCAAAATAGTGGTGTTTTTTTAGCATCAGAAGTTAGTAGTTTTGCTACTACCGTCGATAGGAATCCAAGGTATGGAGATGTAGATTATTATGGTGTTGTGACAGATATCATTGAGTTAGATTATCACAATGGTCGGAAGGTTATGCTATTTGAATGTGATTGGTTTGATGTCAAGAGCAAAGGGTTTCGTACTAAGAAGGATGAGTATGGGTTCACTTTAGTTAATTGTGAACATCGTTTACCTCCGGATGACTCATTCATACTGGGGTCACAAGCAACGCAAGTATTTTATGTTCAAGATCCTATTGACACTGATTGGTATGTTGCTACCAAGACAAAGCCACGAGATGTTTACAACATGCTCGATACAGATATAGAAGACCTCAACACAGCACAAGATATAGGAAACACGTCAGGGGATGATGATATGGTTCAAACAAGACCGGATGTTGTAGAAATTGTTGTTGCGGAACGATTATCAGACTTGTAATCATCAGGAACTTATATCTAATTAAACTGTGGTGTAATGAGCAAAAATTGTTATTGCTTGGTCATGTCTTTTGTTATGTAAGCTTATAGTGTACTTCTATTAGGATATAATATTACATATATAACTGAATTTAGTATTTAAGTAAAGCTTTAGAAATCAGATGTAGAGAACAAAGGTTAAACTTGTTTTTCAAAACGTACTAGGCCGGATATCTAAAAACTTGGTTTTGATTAAGTACTGAATTATTTTTCCTCACAGGAACATTGTTTTGCTACTATATGGTAGAAGACCAGAGTTCGAATGGCCCCTCCTACGTTGAATTTCTGGTGCATGTCCATCAACAAATACAGATAAAATGGCGTCATAACTGTTTACGCTTCTTGGGTTTAAATTACAAGTTTTGAGCAACTTCTTGATAGAGTACCCATGGATTCAACAGATAGAAGATAAATTAGATGCTTGCTATGTTAGACCTTCTAGAGATCATAACCATCAAACCATAATCTATGTATAGAGAATCTGTCGCTTGAGCGGCAGAATAAAGTAATACCACCTTCACTTGAGCAGCAGAATACAGTAATACCACCGCTTGAGCGGCTGAACATACTTATACCACCTTCGCTTGAGCGGTTGAACATAGTTATACCACCTTCGCTTGAGCGGCAGAATACAGTAATACCACCGCTTGAGCGGCTGAACATAGTTATACCACCTTCGCTTGAGCGGCCACCGCTTGAGCGGCTGAACATAGTTATACCACCTTCGCTTGAGCGGCAGAATACAGTAATACCACCGCTTGAGCGGCTGAACATAGTTATACCACCTTCGCTTGAGCGACAGAATACAGTAATATTAAAGGTTTTGGACTTTCTCCCTCTCTTTTATGGTGCAATTCCCACCACCAAATTCAAAAAATTGGCTTTCCACCACTGCAATACACAATTGTGCCCACTAACTCTTATAATATTAATTAAAAAATAGTTATTATAATAAAAATTGTGCCCACTACTTACAATAATAATTAAAATTCTACCCTATTTCCATCTCACTCCCATTCTATCTCTCACTCCGTATCACACTCAATCCCTTTCAATCTTTCAGTCTGTATCACCCTCACTCTCCAAAATTCGAACGCCGCTTATCCACGCTCCTCCTTCTAGTTCGAACGCACTCCTCCTTCGAGTCCATCCACTTGAACACCGCTCATCTGTCCAGTTCAAAGGCATTCCTCCGGCGACACACATAGAGACACAGGATGCCCAAAATACAGGTGAGGTTTCTTAAATTCAATTTTTCAATGGGTTTTTGTTCTTTAGGGTTTAGGGTCAGATTGGATGTGTATTTTGTCGAATGTAGTTTATGGTTTCAGGACAGTGGGTTTCGGAGGACAGTGGGTTTGAGATTAGGAATCTAGGATGGGTGCAGGTGTTTGGGATTAGAAGGGTTTCAATGGAGTAAAAGTTAATCAGTGCCGTCCAAATATCCACAGTTATTTTTGTTCCATTAGCTGTCATATACCCATGAATCATCTTCCCCATACCAAGATCTCTACTATTACAAGCAGCCAAAATCAAACTAATCAGCGATACTTTATCGAATCCAAAGTCCCCTGTTTTCATTTCTCTAAACAAAGAGAAAGCTCTTCTACAATCACCAACTCCAGCATATCCTGCAATCATGGTATTCCGTGAAACCAAATCCCTCTCAGGCATGTCATAAAACATCCTTCCAGCATGGTATTCCATGCACAAACTTTGAATACAAATCAATAAGCACATTACAAAGCTCGTTTACCAAATCCAAACCTGCCTTATAACAGTATGAATGAAGTGCATTTCCCACATTAAACTCATCAAAATCCACACACCCTGAAATCAAAACAACCAAAGTAACATAATTCGGCTTCAATCCCAAACTAAAATCGTAACTCAAAACTCGGTTAAACAAATCCAATGCTGCACCAAACAAGTTGTTCTTCACAAAACCAGAAAGCATACAATTTATTGTCACAACAGTCTTCTGAGGATATCTATCAAACACAATGCAAGCACATCCCACCAAACTCTTCGAACACGAATAAAAACTAACTAAACTGTTCAACAAATTCACATTACAATCCATTGTGCTCTGGTTTAGGATGGGTGCAGGACATGGAGGTCATTGGGAGGGTGGGTGGGTGCAATGGCTCCATCTTTTTTGCTTGGTATGAAATTGACAAATAGAACTTGGGTTGATTATGTGTATGTTTATGAAATTGTAGTGTTGCTTATGTTTATGTGAAATTGACAAATAAGATTGATTATATAGTTTGAGTTTTCTCCTTTCGTTGATGTTACGGATAAATTAGAATTTCGTTCTTATAAATTGTCAGAAAATGACTCATACAACTTTTTTGCTTGGGTTTAAAGTACAAGTTTTGAGCAACTTCTTGATAGAGTACCCATGGATTCAACAGATAGAAGATAATTAGATGCTTGCTATACACATGTACTTGAGGATTATCCCGAAACATATGTAATGTATGCTTGAAGAGCAAGTAGAGCCGAGTTTTTTTTTATGATAGGTTTGTTAAAATTGCAGTGTACAATCCATAGTAGACACTACTGCCAATAAATACAGAGTAATACGAAGCATATTACTCTACTTATTGCTGTCATATATAGAATGTAACTTTTGGCTATAACATATGTCTTGTAGAATTTGGTTCAACAGGTGCAGGATTTGCAGGGCCAGGCTCATTGGAAGTTTTAGTCGGTAACTTTTGTTGCTTCCTCCTTATATCCCTTTTTTCTTTCTTCCA